AACCCTACCTGCTTGCTCGTCAGAATGCGTAATCCACACAATAGCCTTGAGCGTAGCATCTCGAGCCTGGACCTCATTGAGCAAGTATCTCTCGACGGCTGCAGATGAGACCGAGTCTAACGCCGAAGTCGGTTCTGAATAGATTATAAACAAAGCGTAGACTTTTGAGAAATGAGAATATTTACCATCGAGAAGGAGGACTTCAGCGCTATTAAGGCCTACTGCGATTGCCAAAGCCACTCTCTGAGCCTCTCCACCACTGAGATTGGACCACTCGCGGTCCCAAAGCTGAGGATCAATACCCCATTCGCGAGATATATCAAGGGCGCGATCAAAGGGGTCGTAGGGACCACCACCTGATTTCTTGAGGGCCTGAGCGTGTGCTTGGTGAGCACCGAATGCAGCGATTTTCTTCAGAAAATCATTGGGAGTGCCGGAGAGTAAAGAGGGACGTTGGGGAACATAGAAGACTCGAGTGCGGAAGGAAGGAATGCCTGAAACTATGCAATGAGACGATAGTAGGACTGCAGCTTGACGACGAAGATGGAATACCAAGTGATTTTGGTGTACTGCAACGAGATCAGACGGAGAGGAGCGCGACTTGTACTTGACAGACCTTCCACGATAGAGAACGTCACCTTGGTAGACGATGAGATGAGCGATGCACTTGAGAAGAGTGGTCTTTCCAGAGCCACTCTTGCCTCGGAGGACAACGATGTCGCTCTGGTTGACTACAAGACTGACGTCTTCGAAGACGGACTGGCCGTCTCGGAGACAGGCAATATCACGGAGCTCGAGCAGTGGGGTGGTCATGGCAGGAGGGAGGCTATATTTGGAGGGATCTCATGGCAGCATGTGTCAGTGGTCGAACTTGAATTCAAATCAATTTACATACATTTGCATACATGCTTTAGCTTTCTCCTCCATGCAGATTCGGGTCCGTTTCGTGCAATGACTCGAGCTCATCTGAGTTTCTGTCCTCTTCTTGACAAGCCTGATCTCCACCACCGACAAAGCTCTGCACATGGCACCTAAAGACATCAAGAAAAGAATTGCCGATGGCATTGTCGTCACCGCACAGCAAAGTAGATTCTATGTCGACGCCATCGACGCCCCCGCTACGAAAGAGGTATGATACCATTCAATTTTCATAGCCTATAGCTCAATCAACACCAGATTGATGTCAAAGATCTCGCTCTGTCCGTCAGTGGTCGGGATCTCCTATCCCACGCAAACCTCACGCTCCGCGAAAACAAGCACTATGTACTTGTTGGTCGCAATGGAACAGGCAAATCGACCCTTATTCGTGCCTTAGCGGAGGGTCGTATACCTGGTGTTCCATGGAGTCTGCACATGCTTCTCCTAGGCCAGACAGATTTCGTCAACAGCAGCACTCTCGATGAGAGTCTTGCTGCTTTACGATTTGAAGATATGACTGTTTTGGAACATGTCATACGGAGCGATGCGAGACGCGAACGTGCTCTTGCAGAGGTCAAATGTATGTATGCTGAATCATTTGAATCTTACCTCTCATAATTCGAGACAAGATCTATCAGAGGCCCTGGATAACACAAAAGATCCTCTCGCGGTCATCGCTGCGATTCGTAAGCTCAAGCACGAACGCCTTACTCGTGCATATGATGAAATGACTAAGATTGCTGCACGGCGGAGTGGTGCGCGAGGTGCGAAAGCGCGCAAGGATCTCATTGCCGCCGAAGAACGGATTGCAGCTTCTGCGGCCTTACTTCAGCAACCCACAAGCGAGACTGATGCGATATCCATTCAGGAAGAGACGCGCGAGGCCGTGGACACTCTCACGGACATACAAACGTCACTGGACGCGATGGATTCGGCGAGTGCAGAGTTACGCGCGCGCAGTGTGCTTTACGGTCTCGGCTTCTCTCCAGAGGCTATCTTAAGGCCATACGTGACACTATCTGGTGGCTGGCGAACGCGATGTTCTCTTGCGAGCGCACTTTTCCAAAAGGCCGACATTCTTCTTCTGGATGAGTGTACAAATTTCCTGGATCTCCCCGCAATTGTTTGGTTACAGGGCTTTGTGCAGTCTCTCACTGAAACCACTGTAGTTGTCATGTAAGTTTTCCAAGCGATCAGCTGTGGGAGGTCCTGAAGTTCCTCAACAAAGTACCCATGACCGCGATTTCGCCGACGCTGTCGCCGACGAGTTAATCGTTTTGCGTGAGAACAAGCTTGAATATTTCAAAGGCAACCTCTCCCTATATGAAGCCGAGAGGCACGCCAAAACGAAGTATCTCACTCGCATGCAAGCCGCCCTCGATAAAAAGACCAAACACATGGAATCCTCCATCGCATCTGCACTCAGCGCTGCTAAGCGCACGGGCGACGACAAGAAGCTTAAACAGGTTGCGTCACGCAAGAAAAAGATAGAGGAACGCTCTGGTCTCGAAGTCGGACTCAAAGGCGGACGGTTCAAACTCAATCGAGATTTGGCAGGTTGGCATCTCACGAATCGTGCTGAAATAGAAATTCCGACAGTGGACTCCCTCGTGAAGGTCTCAATACCAAGCGAACCACCGGATTTGCGGTTCCCGGGGGCACTGGTTGCACTTGAAAAGGCATCGTTTTGGTATCCAGGCGCGAAGACAATGACAATTGTGGATGTGGACCTTGTGATACACCCTGGAGAGCGCGTCGGTATTGCAGGACTGAATGGGAGCGGCAAATCTACCCTTGTAGGGTTGGCCACCGGGGTGTTGAAACCTAACAAGGGGAATGTCACACATCATACGAGAGCAAAGATTCAATACTTCTCGCAGCATTCTGTCGAGGCGTTGGAGGAAAAGGGGAAAACGGATGGAGAGCTTACCGCGCTGAAAGAGCTGATGACTGTAAGTGCGGGAGAACTTTCCGAACAGGAGGCGCGAGCTCTCCTTAGCGGTTTGGGATTGCCTGGGAAGATTGCGAGTGACGTTCCGGTGGCAGCATTGTCTGGCGGACAAAAGGTGTGTAGTCTCTACAAAATATCTACATTGTATTCTGATAAGATGAATAGGTCAGACTGGCGCTTGCGAAGCTCATCTACTCCCCGCCACATCTCTTAGTGCTGGATGAAGTAACCACACATCTAGATGCAGATACCGTTTTAGCGCTCGTTGAGACCCTCAAAGAATACCAGGGCGCGCTACTCGTCATTACTCATGACAGGTGTGTTACATGGAGTTCCATACTAGAGAGATGACTCACCAGCTCTCAGATTCTTTATGAGATGTGTGGTGGAAGGAGAATCTCCCTATGAAGCAACAGAAGAGAGTGATGAAGAGGATGAGGAGGAAGCTCGCGGGCAATGGCAAGCCAATCCTGGAATCGTGTATCGTTTGATCAAGGGGCGACTGAAAGCACTAGATGGTGGTATGCGGAAGTATGAATCGATTGCGTTGAAAGCGAGCAATAAAGTGGGAGTGCTCCGATAGATAACATCTGTAGTTGATCTAATCAATCCTGGTCATTGACCATCATGGTTGCGATCCGTCTACGCCATCCTTCCGGCGTGTCTACTATACAGGTTGCCCTCGACCGCGGTGATTTCACTGTCCAAGATCTTCAACAAGAAATATATATCGCCACGCAAATCCTCCCGTCACGACAAAGTCGTGAGTAAAGTCATTTCCGACTAGATTTACCGATGCAGATGGTAGCCACTATATGATTCGTCAAGTGAAAGCCGGATACCCACCACAATCACTTACTTTGATACCAGAGCTTCCGATAGAAAGCCTTGGACTCAAGGCAGGGGAGCAGATCATTGTCGCTGAGCTACCAGATGCCCCACCGTCAGTTCCAGTCCCATCGATTTCGAGCCGGGGTAATGAATATCCCCGTCCAACCATCTCTTCTAGCCCATCTGAACCCTCAACGCCAGAATCCTCGCCGCCTATGTTTCTTACTCGCCGCCCGCAGCCTTCACAGTCTAGCGGCCCGGACTACGTCCAGACGGACGGTGGTGTACTGATTCACCGAGTACGCGCACTCAAAGTTTCGCTATAAAACTCCTTTCAGATCACAGTTGCACCAGATTGTACCAGATGATAATTCATGTCTTTTCTCGGCTGTGGCACTATTGTTCGAGCAGAGTATTGACAAAGCTCCCGAGATGCGGAAGAGTGCGTCGTGTATCTCAAGTGACGTGTCGAGACATCTCTTGTTGACTCGCGTGGTCAGTCGTTGCGGAAGGCATCCAGAGAAACCCATCAAAGTATAATGAGGCCATCCTTGGGTATGTGTGTTCGTTTTCTGAGGATCCTCTCTGGTAACACATCATCAGCATGCCACCAGAAAAGTATATTGCGACAATCCTCAAGTCAACAACATGGGGTGGGGCCATTGAGCTCACTATTCTTGCTGCGTACTACAATACAGAAATTGCAAGTGTGGACGTTGAGACTGGAAGGATAGACCACTTCTCTCCCCCAGAGGGTTTCGCAAGTGCCATGCGTTGCATCCTTCTGTATTCTGGTATCCATTACGATGCAGTGACTTTGGCCCCAATGCCTGAAGCACCAGGAGAGTGGCACCAGACGCTGTTTCCATCTGTACGTCTTTACCTAATGCCGAAAGATCATCTTTCAATGATAATAGAGTGCTTCGGATGATCATGACTCCATGATGATTGCAGCAGGGAAATTAGCCGACATACTGCGAGCCAAGAAGGCATTTACTAATACTTCGACATTTGACCTGAAATGCGAGGTGGGTCCTCATGAACTTTTTTTGGAAGTCTGATCTGAGGACTCGGCAGACTTGTGGTAAAGGGTTAAAGGGCGAGAAAGACGCTCGTGTTCACGCGGAACAGACAGGGCATGTTCGATTTGGGGAATACTAATATATATTGCGTGCTAATTTGTATGATGTACTTGAAAGAAAAAGAAAGTCTGTCGGACAAAATACGTCTGATTGTGTTGCACAAACTTGGGTCTTACTACCAGGTAACTTACTCCAAGTGCAAAATACAACATTATAGATGGGGGTACCGCGGATCGAACGCGGGACCTTCAGAAACCAAACATTCTTCAGTCTGCTGCTCTCCCAGCTGAGCTATACCCCCACTGCAACAACCTAATAAAACGCGGTTACAACAACGGTCTGATCATTTCAATTTCCACACTTGGGTACTCTACAAACCATCGCTTCTGAACTCCATAACCACCGGACAATGATCAGAAGCTCCGTAAATCTCATCTCTGATTTCACACTGGATACAAAGTCCTCAGTACCTAGCCCTTTAAGTCAAGAAAGTAACGTACTAATTTTACGCGTTCTACAATACCCTCACTCAATACAACTAATCAAAGAGTGTCAGGCGGTGCGATATCTACTTTAGAAGAATAAACCTTACACATGTCGAGGCGCCATCCGGTTCCATTCTGCCGACAGTTGAAACGATAAGAGAAGTAGGTATAATGTCTGAGATCTGGGTGCATCTGACGCCAGATGTCAACGAATCTCTCGGGAGCATCTGGAGAGTTGAGTATATTGTTGAAAGCAGTTGTTTCTACTTCTGTATATCCAGGTGACTTGTTCCAGTTAGATTTAGCGTTGCGAAGGTCTTCAGAAAATATTCAGACATTTTACATTCATCACGAAGGATTCTCACCCATCTCTGTCGGTGCAACATTCAAATCGCCTGTCCATATGACAGGCTTCCTTTTGTCAAGGTCTCGGATATAGGTATCAAAGTGAGTATTCCACTCTTTTTTGGCATCTAGGGTCTGATATCGTGAGCTCAGTTTCGTGTAGATCAGTTGGTCCAAGGATACCTTGAGACCCTGGCCTGCATTGACGACATAGGTGCCAATCAAATAGCATGTCTCGAATTCCAGTGTAATGATCCTTCCTTTGACCTCGGAAGGGTCAGGATGGCCAGGAAGTGCCATATTTACATTGAGTGGTTTGAATTTCGACAGAATAGCCGTACCAGCTGATAATCGCATTAGTCAATACTTACATGTTCTGAGACCAAACTTACAGTATCCCTTTTTATCAGCGATAGACCAGTATCGGTAGGGGTAGCGATTTACCAAGGCAGGATCAACAGGCTCATTATTGACCTATGAAGGTGTCAGAGCTATGGACTAGTACATCTGTTGTGGGATGCATACCTTTGTCTCAGTGAGAACCAGAATATCCGCGTCTTCTGCTTCTACGTAGTTTTTGAATCCCTGCCAAAAAAGTCTATTTACGCGACTGAGACACGTTTAAAGTGTGCTCAAACCTTCTTTGAACTCGCTGCCAAACCGCAAATATTCCATGTAGCAATCCGTAGCGTGCCTGGTGTTTTCTGAGGAAACGTGATGGTGACTGGTAGCACCTTATTTGTTGGCTGCGTGTTCTCTGGTGTAGTGGGATCTGTCTTGGCCTTCTTTGTCTTCGTTGTCTTTGCTTTCTCGTCGGCGTCTTCCGCGTTTTTACGTTTGGGTGGCATTGATTGGGCGTTGAGGAATAAAGGAGCTCGGTCTTCTAGTATGAAGGAGTCGTACCAGCAGAGTTTGACTCCGAAGAAGTGACATTGACACCACATCACAAGGATCACATGACATAAATTAACGCGATCGGTCAAGGTCCGATTGCCGATGTCAAGGTTCAAGTTCGGGCCCACCAACAATTCACAGAAAAGCCACCGTCGTTCTTGTCACAAGAGAGCCCTCAGACGGTGGCACAACCCATATAAGAATAGGGCTCGTCTTGCCACAAAACCGTGGCAGCAGCCCTATTCATCTTTATGCTCACTCATCGAGGATTTTCTGCTTGGATCGTCGTCGACGGGAAACCCCTCCCTGAATATCTGATCGCCGTGGATTCAAACAAGAATTGCGTCTCGTGTTGGATACCCAGCGAGGAGGGCAAGGCGGGCAATCCAATTTTTGTATTCTTCAGTGAGACTGACCGCCGTCTTCCCACGCAGAGCTTTTCCGTGTATTGGCAAGACCATGGTGGCCAAGTAGATACTTGTTCTTTCATCACTCTAGACGGCCTAGTAGTGCCAGGTCGATTTCTGTTTGGTTGTGGCACAGCGTCAAGACAAGGGGTTAGGACGTCACTTTCTACTGAACGGCCATTCGTGTTTCAGAAGGTCGACCAGGCGGGTCAGACTTTTCTCTGCCTTTGTCAATATCATTCAAGCTGAGCTGAGCTGAGTAGTAGAAAACATATCTGCGTTGGAAGGCTCTTCTAAAGACTCCGGAATGATAATCCTACGTATAAAGCGTGTGGCGCGAGTGGAAACACATCCTCCCAACCCCATGCTGGAGCTCCCTTCGACTTACGTGGGCAAGCGGAAGCCGGGAGATCATTGTATTGGGTACGTAAGTTTTCTGTCTTCTACTCAATATAACTTGAGCATGGGATTTTTTAAGATTTGGTCAGGAGGCGCGGACTAATGAACAATATCCGTCAACGTGGTCTGTGGTTGCATACGAAGAGAAAGAACGAAAGAATACCAAACCAAGCACGTATGTATCTTTTGTATTCCGATACAGGTCTCGAGGTACGCCTCTTCCTCTAGATGGCTGGAAATTGTTATGGAGTGTGTTTACTAGAGTTTCTGGAGGCGCAAGGTATCATCACTGACCTTGAGTCTGAGACCATATATTCCTCAACTCCTAAGCAAGCAGCCGGACGCCGAGTTGTCAGTTTGCCTTCAACGATGCCGTTTGTGGACTTGACCATGCCGCCGAAGAAAAAGGCAAAGACATCCATGATCTCTCAGCTTGTAAGTCCATGAGACTTGGCTCGTATATCTCTCCCTAACATATGTGTAGGGACCTGGACGACTAGCACCTGATACACGAAGGACTGTAAGCCTAAAAGTGAATCCAAAGAGACCGGGTGAATTTCCTGGGCAAGGCTTGTTGGTTCCCAGTGAAATTCAGCGTGAAAGCCCTTGGGGATTTTCTAAAGACAACGGCACTGAGGCATATAGTAGTTAGAAATCCATTTACTGAAGTAGGCTGGTGGATCTGGTCCAGCACAAGCTGTTTTCGTCGTCGATATGCTTTCCTTTTACATGTTGTCATTGCTTACAATTGCTTTCATTGTTCTCTTTCATTGCACATCTGTTATGTACTACGTTGAATCATGATGATTTTTTGTTTTCAATGCTTTCCGTTTTCAACTACTCGATCATCTGAGATGACTTGATATCCTGCAATGTGAGTGCTAAACCAAAGAGTTGATGTAATTCTCAATGTCTGAAAGAAGTCGTATATCAATGAACATGAAGGGTCTGATCATGATAATAATACATACTTGCATAGCCGTTAGACGCAATATTTGCAGAATCATAGATATTTGGGCTGGTACCATGAGCTTTTTCGTAGTCATCCGGAATGCCATCTTGGTCAGAGTCGAGTGGAGACTGTGAACCGTCAAAAATTATTACTTCGTACGAGAAAAAAAACACACAGTTCCCCCGACGATAGGCCCCGGGCCATTTATAGGTGAGACGGTGGGATCAGAGATGGTTGCGCCAATCTTTCCAAGAGAACCCAGCTCAGTGTTGATCAAGTACGTGTCAACATGGTCTCGCGATTTACTGGCCCCCGCAGATGCGATCACTTTGTTGAGTGCATCGAGTGGGGAAAGTAGGGTGCCCACGGTGGGGTAATTGTACTTTGTAGTCTGGAAGTCAACATCAGAGTAGTTATCGGTGGTTTCCGCCAGGATCCAGCCATTGAGGTTACCATCCTGCATGATACCATTCATGAATGTTGAGATAGCAAAAATTCTAGAACCTGACCTGATCGGGATCATAATAGTTGTTGGAGACGTAGGTATGGAAGTTGGCATTGCCACGTGTAACTTGACGAGGGATGTCAGAGACGACAGGCCAAGGCGGAAGAAGAATCACCTACATGGGTGTGCCGAGGTCGATGGACCGCTGTTGATTTTTCATGAATACATTTCGGAAATACATAACACTGCATTAAACGATACCTGATGAAAACATTATTCAAGATGTTCGCATACGATTGCCCAGCCGAATCTCCAGCTATGTAGCCACCTCCAGCTCCCCAATTATATACCTAGAGATAGATGGTCACGGCATGTTCTCGATGCACCGAGCCTGACGATTTCTGATGGACATACCACATTGTTGACGAACTCGTTAACACCCTTCACCTTTGGGTTTCTGGTGTTATTGTCGATGTACAATGACCGTATGATACTGACGCCTCCGTCTGTCTGAATAAGACCACCACAAGAGTGGGTCTGGAGGCCCTGCGCAATAATAGAATCGGATATGGTAACATTCGATACGTCACCATTGATAGAGAAGGTCTCGTCGCGGCCCCAGGATATCGAAACGTGGTCGAAAATCATGTTTTCACCATTGGCAATGGTGATAGCATCCTTTCCGGAGTCACCTTATGATATTATCTCGTATGGTTTGAAACGGAAACCGCGGCCAAACTCACCAGTCTTGCCCATTCTGAAGCGAATGTAACGAGTAATAGTATTGCTTGCGGACGAGTAGGATATTCCGTTGCCATAGACAGTAATTCCTTGCCCTGGTGCTGTTTGGCCAGCGATCGTGACATGACTACTAACGACGATTCTACTCGAAATTGTAATGAGACCCCCGACAGCAAATACCACAATCTATTAAAATGAGGAGGTAATGAATGTTGTCAGCGGAGGAAATACCTACACGATTGGGTTGGGAGACAGCCTCACGGAAGCTTCCAGTGCCACTGTCGTTCAAATTCGTTACAATGTAAACACTGCCTCCACGTCCACCCGTGGATTGAGCTCCAAAACCTACAGATATCACCTTTAATGTGATTGAATTTAGGTATAAGTCAGCAAGTAGGCTCACCCTCTGCGCCCGGGAAGGCTAGAAGGGCCATACACGAAGAGGCAGCGGCAAGGATTGCGGCAAATAGGGTGCACTTCATAATTCACAAGAGGAAGAGGAGCGTCCAGCTTGGGTAGGTAGCAGTAACTGTATTCGCATAAAAGTGTACACTGTAACCGACCGTCTCAAGATTGACCTTGAAAAAGGAAGTGAGGGTTACAAGAAGCAAAGGTGCGGGCCGATACAGATAG